AGGAATTACTAACGAAATTTAATCAATCGATTGCTATAGTGTTTCAATTGTTACTTGTTTTTAGAAGAAAAATTTAATTTTTTTTTATTGTAGTCAAAGTGCCGATAATTATAATAATAAAATAATAAATATCGCAATATTGTTGATAAAAATAAAATAAAAAAATAAAATAAAAAAATAAAATAAAAATATTAATCTTTTTATTGTTATTTTTATTATTACTTTTTTTATTATTATTTTTTTTATACTTATTTTGATTATTTTTGTTATTACTATTTTCATCTTTCATTTCATTAATATTATTATTACTTATTTATTATTATTTTAATTTTTTTATTCTTACTTTGATTATTTTTGTTATTAAGGGCAATTGAACCATTATGACGTCACAATTTGTGCAAAGCATGTGTTCTAAAATTGTGACGTCATAATGGTTCAAATACCCTTAATATTTTATTATTATTATTATTATTATTATTATTATTATTATTATTATTATTATTATTATTATTATTATTATTATTATTACTTATTTATTATTTATTATTATTAAAATGTTTCTATTCTTATTTCGACTATTTTTGTTATAATTATTTTTATTTTCTTTATTATCATTATTATTATTGTATTATTTTTATTTCTATTACTATTGTTGATGGTTATTACTTCTCTTCGTTATAAATAAAAAAAGGCATTTCCGCAGTCTATTTTCTTTTTATTATAAATAATTGATGACGAATCAAATTAAAATGTAGGTCAGAAGAGTGTTTTTTTTGCACAAAACTTATTGCATAATAGAATTGACTATGTAGATAGGGAAAAAGCTTTGACACAGGCACTGAGGTTAATAGCATTATACGAAAATACTCTTGGAGTATTTGCCCTGCCAAATTCTTGGCGAAAATAACTATCGCGATTAAGATGTCATGAAAATTTAAAGGAGACACTAGAAAAGCATAAAGTACATAAATTTCCATATTTTCTTTTTTTTTGCGGAAAAAAACAAAAACAAAATAAATTTTAAAAGTTTTACAAAGTTTATCGAAAATTTTTTTAAAAGTTTTTTCTATTTTAATAATTCGAAATGAATAATTTTAGCCAATCAGTTTAATAGAAATAAAGTGTAAATTTTAATATTTTCGCCCTTAAATTTTCGAGCAAAGTTACATTTTTACAGACCGCTTTAAAAAAAAATACAAAATTTGAATAACTTCTAAAGAAAATAAAATTTTTAATACTAAATTAAATTAAATTACAGAAAAAAATTATATTTTAGATATTTTGATATTAATTTATAAATTGTATTTCGAGAAAAAAAATTACCAACAATTTCCATACAAAAATAATTATGATAATAAGTAATAGTAACAATAATTATTATAGCAACAACAATAATAATAATAAATAATAGTAACAATAATTATAATAGCAACAATAATAGTAATAACAATACATAATAGTAATAATAAATAATAGTAGTAATAAATAATAGTAATAATGAATAATAGTAACAATAAAAAATAGAAAAATAGTAAAAATGGAAAATTAATAATAATAATAAAAAAAATCAAATTAAAAAATGGAAAATTAATAATAAAAAAAAATAAGAAGACTAAATATATATACTAATAATAGAAAGAATTATTGTTGATGAGAAATATTTTTCGTAGGAAAAGTAAAAGGGAAAATTGCGATGAGAATTATTATGAGATGAGAGGGCAAGCTATAAGTGGACCTTAGGTAGGCTGCTATTAGTAGGCACAAACAGACAAAATGGTCATCGTGGCCTGCTAGAAATAGAAATAGAACGATTCGCGAGCAAACGGACTTAATAGATAAGTCCTCTTTTCTCGCGTGCCTGAGATGAATCAGTACAAGGGAGTCACGCTCGAAGTACTTCGAACAAACTTGACCGTCCTTGCAAGCCAAACTTCTTTTTACATTCTTTTTCACTTCTCCATATATAGATTACTCTAAATTTCAATTCTAATCGTTGGATTTATTTATACACACCAATAACTATATTTATCAGTCAATAAAAAAATTTTTATTTTCTAAAAATGTATTTTTCATTGCCATTTTTTTCAACAAAATTAAATTTCTGAACAGTAAAAAAGTAAAGTGGTAAAAAAATGTTTTTTTTATTTTCACTATAGTTATGAGTTTTGGGAAAATTAAAAAAAAATCTCTAAAAAAAAGGTTAATTTTTATTGATTTTGCATTTCACTTGTGATCCTTGTGATTAATTTAAAATTCAACATTTTCCATTATTTTGAGTACTTTTTATTCATAAATTTCATACAATTTTTTTATTCTAAACATAATTAATAGTTGCGAATTCGGAAAAAAAATTAATATTTTTGAAAAATAAAATTTATAATTGGTTAAAAGTATTTTTTAAATTACAAGGGTAATTATTATTATAGGAAAGGAATTTAAAAAAAAGGTAATTATTAGATATTGTTGACAAGAAATTGCTAATTTGTCTATAAAAATAATGATCCACAAGTTTTGAACGTTGAAATGAACGAAAAATTTTTTATTCAAAATACTTTCTCAATTGCCGATTACAACAAAAGTTCAGAAATTAAATGTTACATTTAGAAACTTTATAATTAATTTTTTTTTATAGTGGGGAAAAATTATTATAATAAAAATTTAATTTGAAGAAGAAATGTATAAATTTCGTTCATTTGAACGTTCAGAACTTTAGAATAAGCAAAAATGCAGAATTATTAAAAATTTTATTTGTTTATTTAATAAATTAAATATTTTACAATTTGGTGCTTAAAATTAATTTTGTTGTCATAAATGGCTTTCATTTAAAAATAAAAAAAATTCTTCTTTTGTTTCGCTTTTTTAATTTTACCGTTTCTTAAAACTTAGAAAAATATTTTTTTTTCTATTATTATTAAAATATACTTTTTTGCACGTAAATAATCTCCACTTAAGGAGATATTTAGTATCAAGAAATAAAAAAATTTAAGAAATTTAAAAATTTCTTTGTTCCTCCAAAGAGATTTTAAATTAGTTAACAATGCTTTTATAATGTTCATCGGCAGTGCTGCCAGATTGGAAAATTTTTCTTCAAATCTAAAGAAAATTGAAGTAATCTGCGATATTTGAAGAATTTGAAGAAATATTGTAAAAAATTGAAGATTTTTTGAAAATTTTGCCAAGGGCGTGTATATCAAGTAATAATGGAAATATTTATAAACATTTAAATAATATAAATAAACCATTTTTTAAAGATAAATTATAATTTTTGTTCTTCACATTCTTATGATTTAAAAATTTTAATAAAACATTCTTTGGAAGAATTCAATTATTTTTATAAACAGCAAAATTCATCGCAGGAATTTAATTATTTTCCAAACTATTTTAATAAAATTTCACGAAAAGATTCAATTATTATTTTAAAAAAATTTTAATAAAACTCTTGTTAAGAATTAAATTATTTTCAATAATTTTAATAACATTCTTGGAAAGAATTCGATTCTTCTTATAAATAATAATATTTTTTGCGAGAATTCAATATTATTTTCAATTTTCAATTAAATTTTCTCGAAAGAATTCAATTGTTTGAAAAAAATTTTAATAACATTCGTCAAATGACTAATTATTTGAAAAATTTTAGATAAAAACTTTGCAAGAATTTAGTAATTTTTAGTGCATTAATTTTTGAAATTCAAAACATTAAAAGAGAAAATTTATTTAAAAAAGTTGAGAAACAAACAAAAACTAACTTCAAACTGCGAACAGATTGATGATCCTAAAGTTCTGAACGTTCAAATGAAGGAAATTTTTTTTCTTCTTTAAATTAAATTTTTATTATAATATTTTGTGTCACTGTGAATAAAATTAATTATAAAGATTCTAAATATAAAATTTTTTTTTAATTCATTTAAACGTTCAAAACTTGTAAATCGTACAGATTCAAACACAACAATATTAATTTATTTCTTCAAAATTGTTTGTGATATTCAATTTCATTTATCATATTTTATTAGAAAAAATAATAACCAAAATCTGAAGAAATTTTTTTGATTAATTTAAATATTTCTGAAGATAAATAAAAAAATTCTTTTGAGAAATTATTTATAAATAATTGAATTCTTTTTAATTATTAATTTTTTCGAGGAACTGGAATTAAATTTTTAAAAATAATTACATTTTTTTAGCAATTCCTGTAAAATTGTATTAAAAATGATTGAAATCCTGCGAAGAATTTTATTATTTATGAAAATATTTGAATAATTATTCAATTATTTTCATAAATAATAAAGAATTTATTTTTACTTTTTTGCAAAGAATTTTATTAAAATTTTTAAAAATAATTTATTTCCTGTGAAGAATTTTATTATTTATGAAAATAATTGAATTCTTGCAAAAAAGTTTATTAAAATGCTTAAAAAGAATTGAATTTCTGTGGAAAATTATGATATTTTTGAAAATAATTGAATTATTGCGAAAAATTTTATTAAAATTTTTAAAAATAATTGTATTTCTGTGAAAAATTTTGTTATTTTTGAAAATTATTGAATTCTTCATAAGAATTTTATAAAAATTATTTTAAATAATTAATTTTTTCGAAATATAATAAATATTATGGAAATTTTATTCTAAACAATGGAATTCTTGTGGAAAACTTTATTTGTGAAAATAATAGATTTTCTCGATTAATTAATTTAAAATAGTATTAAAAGTAATTGAAATTCTTCGATGAGTTTTATTATTTATGAAAATAATTGAATTCTTGCTTAGAATTGATTTTTTTGAAAATGATATTCTAAATTATGTGAATTCCTATAGAAATTTTATTATTTATGAAAGTAATTGAATTTTATCAATTTTTGTTTAAATTAAATAATTAAATTCTTTTACGAAATTTTATGAAAATACTAGATGTTGAAAATAATTGAATTTCGAATATTTTTTGAGAATAATTGCATTTTTTTATTAAATAAATTACTATTAGATTAGTTTAAAGATTTCTGAAGATAAATAAGAGAAGTTTTAAAATTTGTTATTTTAATCATCTGGCTGCACTGGTTCATCGTAATTGTTCACAAATTTTGTCAAATTATTGTCATCTAAAGCATGTAAAAAAAATATATTTTGGAAAGCAATTAGAAAATGTACAATTTCTTGAAGTTTGGTCATAATAATCTGGTAGCGCAGGAATAACCAAATCATTGTAATGAATACTATACTACTTGGTTCATTAGGTGAAAAATAATTCGAAAAATTAACAAAATAAAATACAACTTTTGAATAATCTCTAATCATCTTGTATTCCAAATAACCAATCCACTGATTGGTTATTTGAAGTACAAGATGATTGATGATTATTCGAAAGTTTTATTTTATTTTGTTAATATTGTTTAGCCTTAATTTTCAGTATTTATGTTTGTCTGTGGTCGATGAGTAGACGTAATAATAAGTATAATTAGATTGAACCAAATAAATATGTTTCATAATTACATCGTACAGAAACTGTTCTGAATTAAGAAAATCTTCTCGCTTTACTGTTGGTACTACTCTGCTAGCTCTTATTTGGTCAACAATTATTTTTATCCCCGCTCTCATATCATCTGGCACAATTATCACTAGTCTCTTGAACTTTACATAAAAAAAAAGATCATCAATAGTTTCCCAATGTTCATAAATAGTAAGGATTGTATTGTTCATAGGTTCGTAGTTGTTACTATTATTTACACTCTGTAAGCAACGAATATTTAGAATTAAAATTTATGTTAGATTATTTTTGTATAGTCCTCTCTCAATACTTTAGATACTATTAGTTTTCTAGATACTACTATTCATTTCCTATACTAATAATCCATAAAATTTTATAATTTATACATTACAGGTTTAAAACTTACCAGAAAATCCTCAACAAGATCATAAGTAGTAGTCATTACATCAGTCCAATTTTCACTTACATTTAGCATTTCCCCTTTGAGAAAATTGAGTGCGTAGGAAATTTGATATTCGCTCATAGTATATTCATAATTATAGTATATCATTAAGGTGTTAAACCAATCTAATTTGCTTATCAATGATTTTGCGACAAGTTGTTGTAGGGTATCTATCCAAGCTGTTATGTTGTAGGATGTAATATCTGATATTTCTTTTATAAAACAAAATAAGTCAAGCATTTTTATTTCGTGTTCATTTTCACAAAGACTGACACATGAAATATCATTGCTTTTCAACATAGTGTTATTGATCCAATTTAAATAATCAATCGTAATCATAAAATCATTGAGATAAAGTTGATTTTTAATATTTCGGTAAAATACATCTAATTTCACTTCTAGATTTTTTGACTGAAAGCAAATTAATCTTTTTTCCACAATTGTTCTTTTTTTACTTTTTTCTACACTTTCGCTATTAATTTAAATTTGTTCGAATAATGAGTTTAAACGCATTAAGGAACTCGTGCTTTGAGAATTAAAGTTGAATCCCATTGAAGTACAAATGTCATCATTATCAAAAACGGTAAAGGATAAGTTTCGTGTTTCCTTCTCCCCAAATAATTTTTTACGTAACTTGATTAATTCTGAGAAGCTTTCATTTTTCTGTAGTTTTTTATTTACATACTTGAGAAGAGTACAATTGGTGCAACTTGGTTTTAGTGGAACTAAAATATCTTCAAAAAAAAGAAAACTCTTTCTTTACGTTAACAAAATGAAAGGTAATGTCTAAATTGTCTTTTAATAGCTTCTTTTGGGAATTTATGATCAAAAAATGGTCCTGAATGTTTACTGGATAAACAAAATAATATGAGTCGTTGGCTTTGATTAGATGGATATTTTTCGATATAGTATGATATAATTGACTGTAATGAGGGTTATTCTTGATTCCATAATCATTTAATATTCATTTGCTCTCATTCAAATTTCTAACTCTGTTTATACCATCAAGAAATTTATCTGATACAATTTCTACCAACGGCTTACACTTTTTTTTGAAAAGCACGGAATCAGTTCCTAAAAAATTATCGTAAATAGAACAAATACTGTTTTTAAACGTGTATGACTTCATTTCCTTTTTTTTTTCTACCTGTAAAATACTCATTTTCAGAAACAGTCACAAATTTTTAAGATGCATCCTTAGATGTAAATACATATTTTTTTATAGAATTTATAAATTTATATTTCAATAGAATTTAGTTCATTTGAAAACAAACATTTATAAAAAATTTTCAGAATATAAAAATTAGAAATTAATATATTCTAGAATATTTTTTAGAAAAACAACTGTACCCTAATCGTAAGCACAGAGTTATAAAAAGTAATCGTTTTGTGATTTCTTCAAAAAAAGAAATTATTAACTTTTTACGATTGCTTGATAATTTTTTTTACAAAAAATTGTTAAATTTAGAAAAAAATTCTTTTATTGCTCTTTTTATTATCTAACTCTAAATCTTATTATTTATGCAACATGCAAGTAACAGAAACAATATGAAGTTATGATATTATTTAAAGAAAAATATTATTTTTAAATTATTTCTTAAACTTACATTGTTTTGTGTAATAATTGAAATTTTTCCAACGAGCAGGAACAAAATCAAACCAAGCCCTGTCAAAAATTTTCCTCGATTGTCCATGTTTGCTTTACTATTGAATATAATTATTTCTTTCAACACTTGTACTGATATATTATTGAAATAGAAAAATGCATGCTTATATACGTAAAAAATCATAAAATATAATCAATTTTTTAACAACTTTAACATTTTTTATTACTTTGGCATTCATAAGTTTATGACATTTTTACTTTTAAAGTTTTAATCTCAAAAACTTTTTTTGCGCATTGCGAAAATTGACGATTTATTACAAAAAAGAAAATTGTACTTTTCTTTCAAAAATAAAAAAGATTTTTATTTCAGAAATTAGCACTAATAGTAGAAAATTATTTCAAAATTTTTTATTTAATTTTTTAATTTTTTATTAATTTCATAGATTTTTTTGTTTTTCTCATTTTAAACAATATTTATTTATTTATAAAAATTTTACTTTTTTAGAAAATAAAAATTATAATTGAAGAAAAATATTTTTTTTAATTAGAATACGGAATAATTAAACATTTTATTTTTTAATTATTTATTAATTTAAATATTTTACAATTTGTTGCTTAAAATTAATTCTATTGTCATAATAGGCTTTAAATTGGAAAAGAAAAGAAATCTTGTATTCTTTGAAGATTTTTTTTTGTTTTTCAATAAATGTATAAGATTTGTTAAGTTAATAGTTTCTGTGATATTTTTTACAATAATAAAAAAAATAATGTTAATGCTTCAAAGAAACTTGCAGTATATCAAGAGCATTAAAATGAATAAGAAATTATAAATTATAAAATTATAAATGTTATTTTTCTTATATCTCTAAATTTATGATTTATTGCATGTTGAAGAAATCGTCTTGTTTTTAACAATCGAATAGATTTTGTTAGACAAATCAGTACCATTTAAGAAAATTTTTGGTATTTCGGAGTAAAGAGTGTCTGATTTTATAAACAGTTGAATCTCATTATACATATAATCAAAGTGTTGCATTGATAATAATTCCTCTATCCAATCCTTCGTCTTTAACAAATATTCGGTTACAGTATTTTTCTCATTTTTAACAATACTTTTCATGTAGCTAATTTTATAAGATTTCTGATCAATAACTTTTAGCATGCCTTCAATATAATTTATTTTTAAAAAGCAAAAGAATTTAAGAAATTTAAAAATTTCTTTCTTACTACAAAGAGATGCTAAATTCGTATTATTTCTTTCATTTATTGATGTTATGTTCTTATAAGCAGAATTTATTAAATTCTTAAAAACAAGTACATCATTTAATCCAGTCATGCTAAAATTAATATCAGATCTATTATTTAAGTTTCTCGAAGATAAGCACGGTAAACCATTAAATAAATAGTTCGTGTCATAAGAATTTTGTTGTTGTTTCACAAAGTCATAAAATGTTTTAGAGTATTTAACGTAGTCTCTGTTTTTATAATTTGAATTGTGATTATTTATAAATTTTGGCAATTTACTGTAAAAAGAAGTGCATAAAGAAAAATATTTTGGAAAGCGCTTAAAAAAATCTTGATGAACTTTAATTAAATATGCGGGATTTATAAAGCGCGTCTTACAATTTCCTGAAGATTTGTCACAATAATTTGGTAGTGCAGAAATAACCAAATTATTGTCATAAGGATCAGATTTTTTACCAAGAGAAAAATAACGCTCAAATTTTACAAAATAAAATACAACATTTGAATAATCTTTAATCATTTTGTATTCGAAATAGCCAATCAATGGGTTTCCTTGTCTTTTGGTAGTCGTTGGGTAGACGTAATAATAAGTATCATTGAACCAAATAAATATTTTTCATAATCACATCGTACAGGAACTGTTCGGAATAATGAAGATCTTCTCGCCTTACTTTTGGTACTACTCTACTAGTTTTTATTTTGTTAACAGTTGCAATCCCTGTTCTCATATTATCTGCCACAATTATCACTAATCTGTTGGATTTCACCTCAAGAACTAGATCATCAATAGTTTTCCAATGTTCGTAAATTGTGCAGATTGTAATGTACGAAGTTTCATATTTGTAATCAGTAATTCTACTCTGTAGGCAAGGAATATTTAGAATTACTATTTATGTTTGGTACTTTTAATTTTACTATGCACACACAGTGAAAAATTTTAATATTTACAAGGCCAAAAAATTATTTTCCAATGAATAAAATATCAAAAAAAAAAAATTTTACATTGTAGGCTAAAAACTTACCAAAATATCCCTTTTCTCATTGGTATTATTCAGCTTATCATTTAAACGTTTAAATTCTTCTAGAGCTCTATGGAAAATTGTATTAATAATGGAGACAATTGGATCTACGATTATAATATATTCATCTGTATAGAAGTATCTTGCCAAGTTATACCACTTTAATATGATACTTAATGGTTTTGTAACAAGTTTTTTTAGAGCTTCTGTCCACGCTGGTATGTAGTGAGATGTAACATCTGATATATCTTTCATAAAACAAAAGAATTTAAGTATTTCTATTCTGTGTTTATTTTCACAAAGACCACCATATGAAACATCATTGCCCCTCAATGAAGAAATAGTCCTATTGATCCAATTTAAATAGCCATTTGTAATTAGAAAATTTTGTACATAATGCTCACTAATCCTAAAATACAGATATCTTGACTGAAAGCAACTTAAACTTCTTTCTACAGTTCTTCTTCTTTTACTTTTTTCTACATTCGCGCTATTGTTTTGAATTTGTTCTAGTAATGAATTAAAACGCATTAAAGAACGCGAGCTTTGAGAATTATTGTTGAATCCCATCCAAGTACAAATGTAATCATTATCGAATGGCGTAAAGGTTAAGTTTTTTGTTTTTTGTTCTCTAAATAATTGTTTCCGCAACTCGAATAATTCCGAGAAGCTTTCGCCTTTTTGTAGTTTTTCATTTATATATTTTACAAGAGGACAATTGGTGCAGCTTGGTTGTAATGGAATGAAAATATCATCAAAGAAAGGAAACTCTTTCTTTACATCAAAAAAATGGAAGATAATACCTAAATTGTTATGTAATAACTTCCATTGGAAATATATGGTCAAAAAATTGTCTTGAAAGTCAACTGGATAAACGAAATAATATGTGTCGTTGGCTTGGAATAGATAGATGTTTTCCGATACAGTTTGGTATAATAGACTGTAGTAAGGGTTGTTCTGGATCCCAGCATCATTTAATATTCTTTTGCTTTCACTCAAATTTCTTACTCTGTTTATACCGTCAATAAATTTATCTGCAATAATTACTATCAACGGCTTGTACTCTTTTTCGAAAAGCATAGAATTAATTACTGATAAATTATCGTAAATCGTGCAAATATCATTTTCAAATGTCAGTGGGTTTATTTCCGTTTTTTCTACCTGTAATATTCGCATTTTCATTAAAAAAATAACAAACTTAGAAATCATACAAAAATTTGTTTTTATTCCTTATGACTCCCGATAGAGAAATTGACTTGGACTTTTGATTTTTGTTAATTTAGTTAATAATGACAATCTGTCCTTCAAATTCGTAATCAGCGATCCAAAAACCCCCCGAGTAACAAGTTTCAAGCAAATCCGATTAATTTTTAAAAATATCCGCCATATTGGATCCGCCATTTTGAATTTTTAAAATCTGACTTCGGATTCTTATTCAGCGACCCCAAAAACTTTTCTTTACCTAGTTTAATCAAACTATGTTAAAACTTGCTAAAGTTATTAAAAATATTTTTATAATTGAATAAAGTTCATTAGAAAAGGAACATTAAAAAACTAAAATTTTTGGGAATGCAAAAATTAGATAATAAAATTATCTAGAATATTTTTTAGAAAAACTTTTTTCCTAATCGTAACCGTAGAGTCGTAAAAAGCAATCGCTTTTTTATTTTTTTTAACAAAATTATACTAACTTTTCACGACGGCTTGATAAATATTTTTTTTAATTTGCAAAAAATTATTAAATTTACAAAAAATTCTTTTATTGCTTTCTTTATTTTCTAACTCTAAATCTTATCATTTATGCAACATGCAAGTAACAGATACAATATGAAGTTATGATATCATTTATAGAAAAATATTATTTTTAAATTATTTTTAATTTAAAAACGCAGTTTTGATACAAATTTGATTAATTATTTTTATTATTCATTTATTTCTGAAAGTATTATTATTTACCAAATTAATAAAATAATTAAAATATACAATCTGTTTTTTAGTCTAAGAAAATCGAAATTATCTTATTTTGTTTCTCGATAAGAAATGCACGTATACGGAATAAAAATAATGAATAAATATTTTAAATAGAATTTTTTATTCTTAAACTTACATTATTTTCCGTAATAATTGAAATTTTCCCGACGAGCAGGATCAAAATCAAACCAAGCCCTGTCAAAAATTTTCTTCGATAGTCCATGATTGGTTTTCTTACGAATATACTTTCTTTCAACACTTTTACTGATATACTATTGAAATACAAAAATTCATGCTAATATGTATAAAAAATGTATCATAAAATAGAATCAATTTTTTAATAACTTTAACATTTTTTATTACTTTGACATTCATAGGTTTATAACATTTTTACTTTTAATCTCTAAAAATTTTTTTGCGCATTGCAAAAATTCACTATTTATTACATCGAAAAAAAATGTTTTCTTTCAAAAATAAATATATTATATTTTACAAATTAACACTAATTGTAGGTTTTAATTTTAGCAGATTCTTCTAATTTCAATGCTTTCTTTCCTCCAGTAATCCCAAGGAAAAACATATTTAACTCAAAATATAATTGAATTATTTGGTTAAGAATTATGTATCTTCACAAAATGTATTTTTCCTTGATATTCATTCTTTACACGCTTATCAGTTTTGTCAACATCGTTCATTATTTTTATTACTTTTTATTCGTAAATTTTATACTTTTTTTTTCTTATTTTTAACAACTAATCGTACAAATCGTATGAAAAACTAATATGTATGAAAAATGTATCATAAAATAGAATCAATTTTTTAACAACTTTAACATTTTTTATTATACTTCAACATTCCTAAGTTTATGACATTTTTACTTTTAATCTTTGTAACTTTTTTTGCGCATTTGCAAAAATTGTCGATTTATTACACTGAAGAAAAATTCTATTTTTATTAAAAATTAAATATAGATTTTTTTTCTAAATCAGCACTAATTCTAGGTAACTTTCTTTCTTTTTGAATAAACTGCAGAAGATCAATTTCCAAATAACGCACCTCCTCTTTCATATTGAATTCATGAGAGCTTATGCGCACTTAGAATGAATTTTTTTTTGTGTATAAACTGGAATATAAAAGTTTGAAAACTTTTCTCAGCGCGCGACGGATTTATAGGCCCTCCTTGAGAAGAAAAAGGGATATTATATTATATTTATACACAAAATCGTTTATTTCTGAGACTATTTTTCATGAAAAACGTTGCGGAGGGTCACCCTCCGTTACGCGTCAATAAGAAATATTTCCGCTTTGTAGAGTAAAATTGAGCTGAAAAGATTTTCTGGAGGGGGTAGAGAGAGAAACACGTGCGTGTTAGAAGAACAGGGGTAAATTTTAGAGCAGAAGCTGTTTCGTTGTTCCACTTTTCTTTTTCAAAAATTTATTCCTCTCGCCGCGATAAAAAGGATCCTTCACAAAAAAAAAGAAAATTGAATACACAAAGAAAATAATTAATCGGTTGATGATAGGAAGTTTTTTTTTAATTAATTTTTATTGGAAAATGCAACGAGGATTCAATTATTTAAATATAAAAATAAAAAATTTATTGAATAATATTGATTACTTCTTAAAATTGAATTCCTAAAAAAAAATCTATTATTTATGAAAATATTTGAATCCCTGTAAAAATTTTTTATTATTTACAAAAATAATTGAACTATTGAGAAGAAATTTATAAGAAATTTGTAAATAATTGAATTTCTGTTAAATTTTTATTATTTATAAAATAATCAAATGTTTGCGTAGAATCTTATCAAAAAAATTTTTTAATAATTGAATTCTATTGGAAAATTTTATTAAAATAGCAGGATCTTCGAAATTAATAAAATTTATCACAAAGTTTAAAATATTTTTTATACAATTTTAAATAAATTCCCTGAAAAATAAAATTATTCTTAAAAATTTTATTAAAATGCTTCGAAACAAATTCAATTATTTTCATAAATAATAAAATTTTTACAAGAATTCAATTATTTAAAATATAAATTTCATTAAATTGTTTTTAAAAGAATTTTTTATAGAATTCTTCACAGGAATTCAATTATTTTCATAAGTAATAAAATTTATCACAAAGTTTAAAATATTTTTTATACAATTTTAAATGAATTCCCCAAAAAATGAAATTATGCTTAAAAATTTTATTAAAATTCTTCGAAACGAATTCAATTATTTTAAGAAATTTTGCTAAATTTCTTTATAAGAATTCAATTTTTAAGTTATTTTAATTATTCCATACATTATTTATTTTTATATTTAAATTTAAATAACTAAATTCTCGTAGAACTTTCTAATAAGAATTGATAAAAATGAATTTCAGTTGAAATTTTTCGCTAATGAAATTAAATATTAGAAGCGTTATATTATGAACTTTTAGAAATAATTCAATTTCAAAAGACTTTGAAATTGAAATCTTTGAAAATTTTAATTGTTGTAAAACTGTAATATAATATTTAAATTTTTATTTAAAAAAAAATTAATAATTTTTTACTTTCTAAAAAAATTATTAGTTTTTAAAAATTTTAATTATAAATTTGAACAAAAAAATTATTCAATATTGGAAGAATAATTCTTTCAACTTGTAATTATTACAAGTTGTAATTTTTAGAAATAGTTAAATTTCAAAAAGAGTTTTAGTTTTACATTGAAATTATTTAAAATATTTTAATTACTGTGAAAAAATAAATATTTATTTAACAAAAATTATTCAAGTTTTTGAAGAATTTAAAATTAAAATTTACAAAATTTTTAATTTTAATAAATTTTAAGTTTTTAATTTTTAATTTTAAGTCTTTTAATTTAAAATTCCAAATTGAATTTATTAACAGAGTATAAAGAAACAATGTAAATATTTCTGATGAAAATTAGAAGAAAATCTGTAAAAATAAAATGCAGAATCGAATTATTTTGTCTATTGGTGAAAACGAGTTTTTTTACTGATCAAATTTAATTTTTCATTAGCACTTGTTTTTACTACTTTTTTTACTCTTAAACCTATTTTTTGCTACTTTTAAGAAATTAATTTTTGAGTGCGAAACCTGCTTATAAACTTTTTTTTTTCAAACAATTTATAAATATTCTCCCGCATAAAATTTCTCGAAAAAATTCTTTAATATTCTTCGTTTCTTATATTTTCACCAAAGAAATATTTCAAAAGTTAATTTTGTCGAAACTTTCAAATAGACACATTTTTTCCACAGCACTTTTTCTCTCCTGTATATAATTGCGCGCAGAAATTATTGGTTTCAGAAAACTTGCTTTAAGTATTGAGACCCACATTCCAGTGTGACTCTTAATATACTCGTGAATAGGTATATCAAACTCGATTTTCACATTTTTCTGGTTTCCATAAATAAAATGTATATATGTATATTAAATGTAGAGAAAAAGTGTGGATGAGGTAACAAACGTCCTAGACCTTCGAAAGGAAATTGGCTCAATTGATGAAGGCGTGGTCAAAAATGTCATCGGCTTCTGGTTTTAATGACAGAATATCCCGTCATTCCTCCCGTTATTCGTCTCTTGAGATAAGCGCCAAGATATCATATCACAAGTGACTAAAATTATTATATTTCCCCTGTATATGTAAAAATTCAAATTCTCTAATTTTATAATTTCCTTTAAAGATCATGAAATTTTTTTTTTTTTAATTTTTTTTTTTTTTAATTATGAAGATGACAAAAATAGTCGAGTGGCTTTTACCAGTTTATATTTAATACCGAAAGAATTTCTTCCGGAATGCAAAGTGTCTCAATCTTTTTTTCCTTCTTCTTTTAATTCTATTTAAAGAATAATTTTTTAATTCCGATAAAAAGAAACCGATTGATAGTTTTCATTTACTTTTTCTAATTATTTCAATTATTACGCAGTGAATTAATAATTCATTTGTAATTTCATAAATTAAACAATATTTTTTATTAATACTGAATATAATAAGAATTTATTATATTCTCACGTCGAAAAATTTTTCCCTGACCCTAAAGAATATACTGATTCACTCTGAAAATGATTCGAACTCAAAAAAAACTGTTCTATTACATTTACGAATTTTTACATGTTACGAATTTTTTTTAATTGTAAAATTTTTAATTTTATTAAATTATTAAATTAAAATTAATAAATTCTTTCTTAAATAAATATTTAATCATTATTATTATTCCATAGGAATTAGGATTTTCAAAAAATTTTAAATTCATATCTTTATGAAATTCAACCACTTATAAGAATATATTTATAATAATTTTAATTTCCATAAAATTTTTCAAAAGAAATTAAATTATTTACAAAAATTTTAATAAAATTATTCGGAAGAATTCAATTATTTTTACAAATAATAAAATTTTTCACATGAATTTGATTATTTAAAAAAATGTAATGAAATTAGTTGCAAAAATTCAATTATTTCCACAAAATTATAAAATTTTCCCAATAATTCAATTATTTTCACAAATATAATTAAGTTTTTCACATGGAATTAAATTATTTTAAAAAGTATTAAAATTCTTCCCGAAAATCACAAGAATTCAATTATTTAAAAAGTATTAAAATTCTTCGTGGAAATTTAATTATTTTTTAGAAATTTTAATAATATTCTTCGCAAGAATTCAACTATTTTCACAAATAATCAAATTTTTCACTAAAATTCAATTATTTATAAAATTTTAAAAAAATTTTTCGCAAGAATTCAATTATTTTTAAATAATAGGTAAAATTTTTCACTACAATTAAATATTATTTATTAAATTTTTAAAAATTCATTTATTTATAAAATTTTGAGAAAATTCTTTATAAGAATAAAATTATTTTTTAAAATAAAGAAATTATTTACTGGAATTCTATAATTTATCAAATTCTAATAAAATTCTTCTCAAAATTCAATTATTTTTATAAATAATAAAATTTTTCACTGGAATTCAATTATTTTTACAAATAATAAAATTTTTCATAGAATTCCAATTATTTTTAATTACAATTTTAAATTTTTTCAAAATCTACCATTTTAATTAAATTTTTTAAATGAATTCAATTATAAAAAAATGTAATAATTAATTGAATAAATGAATATTTATGAAATTTGAATCCTCATAAAGAATTTTATCAAAAAATTTTTAATTAATTGAATTTTTTCGACGAATTTTAATAAAATTTTCAATTTTACATTTTTCGAGGAATTCGATTAAAATTGTATTAAAATTTAAAAATAATTAAAATTCTATGATGAGTTTTATTATTTA